ACAGAATAAAAGTTACGCCTTCTTTCTTTGCGTGAACATTTGGGCAGCGTTATGCAAATCTTCCCACATAATGATGTAGATATGTGGAGGCGTGTTAGAACGAGCCGTTTTAGGTAGGTGTGGCTGACTCTTAACTTTTATAAAGAATATCTCTTTGGATTTGAGACTTTAGTCTTTGCAAAGTTACAGATCTTCTTTATGCACCAAGAGCTTGTAACACTCCAACGAGAAAGGAAAAATTGAAATCGCATCATATGACCCCTTTAAATACTATGAAGTAACTAGTTATTTTTACAGGTTCCATCTTCAATGCAGAACCATGGCAAAACTAATGATGGATGAATTTTACTCTCAGTACCTGTGTGCATAGCCTTTGTCATGAATTGCTTTGAGGCCTTCACTGATGCCATGCAGAATGTGTAGTATGCGGCTCTCTGGCATAGAGCTTCCCTTATCCCGCAGCTTCTCAAGAACGGACCACAGACTTCCCATCTGCACAGAAGAATTCAGCACATAAAACACTTTTAAATGGCATACAGCACATCTCAGAACTCACTGGACTTTTGGATTTATTAGAAGCCTAGAATGGAAAAGCAGAACATGGTCCACTTACACTGATGAACGGGAGCAACAGCCAGGCCTCACACTTTCCACCGCGCTCCATAAAGGTGTGTGCGGTCAGGCTGAGGATGTTGGGATGGTTGAAAAGGCGGTGCATCTCCACCTCGGTCTGAGCCTCTTTGCGGCCCTCACGGTCATGGCAAAGGATTCGCTTTAGAGCATAGAAGCGGCCATCATGTGCACCTTCTACCAGATCCACATAGCTGAAACCTCTAGAAGGTACGATGAAAATAATTATAAACAATAGAATCACAATGAAATGACTATTTGTCCTAATGAGACCAGCTGTTTAATCCAATAAATTTCACTTAAGCACACTATAATGAAAACTGCCATGCATAATTATGAAAGATGGACCATTTTCAAACATACTTCTTCCATATTTTTCCTTGCCAAGGTGGCATCTTTGGGCTCACACAATTCCAGTCATTTTTAAAGGAACAGTTCACCAAAAAACTAAACATTTGCTGAAAATGTACTCACCCTCAGGCCATCCAAGATGTAGATGAGTTTTTTCATTACAGCAGATTTAGAGAAATTCAGCATTACATCACTTGCTCACCAACGGATCCTCTGCAGTGAATGGGTGCCATCAGAACGAGAGTCCAAACAGCTGATAAAAACATCACAATAATCCACACCACTCTAATCCAATTAACGTCTTGTGAAATGAATTGAAACGCTGTGAGTTTATAAGAAACAAATCCATCACTAAAACGTTTAAACTTAAACTGTTGCTTCTGACCAAAAAAACGAGTCCATAATCCATAATAAAGCTTCCTCCAGTGGAAAAGTCCATCCTGTTGTCCTCTCACATCAAAATCCACCAACATATTTGTTTAGAAATGTTTAGGGTTGTTTTCACTTAGAAACTGTGCTTGATCCTTGCATATTTTTCTCGTGATTCAGATGAGACAATTTTTCATTGGAGAAAGCAATATTAAAGTATTACAGACTGTCTTAATGATGGATTTGTTTCTTACAAACACACAGACTGATCAATTGATGGACTGAAGTTGTGTGGATTACTTGTGGATATTGTGATATTTTATCAGCTGTTTGGACTCTCATTCTGACGGCACCCATTCACTGCAGAGGATCAATTGATTAGCAAGTGAAGTAATGCTAAATTTTTCAAAATCTGTTATGATTAAGAAACAAACTCATCTATATCTTGGATGGCCTGAGGGTATGTACATTTTCAGCAAACATTCATTTTTGGGTGAACTATTCCTTTAAGTATTTTAAGGACTGAATAGTCTAGTTGAGGAGTCTTACCCTTCTTCTAGTTTCTGGATGAAGTAGTATCTCTTGTTGTCAATTGTGATGGCACTGCGCAAGCATATACACAAAGCTTGTCCCATCTTCTCTGGAGCATTGCTTATGACCGACCATGGATGAAGGAGAGGCTCTGTAAGAGATTTAGACTTGATTATTTATATCCTTTTTTCAAATTTATTTTATGCCATATTCATTTATTCTGTTCTTTACTCTATTCCATATTCAGAATGGAGCAATGTGTACGACTGTCACTGAATTCTACATGAGGCCACAAGGAAATACCAAAAATAATATTGTCCAGACCATTGTGTGCGCAGTAGGCTAAGGTTCAGAGTGTTCGCAGCATTTTTCCCCCAACTGCAAATCAATGAAATATGTTGATAACAAAATCTGTTTTCATTTCAGCATATTGTGGAACAAACATTGCATTATTTATATTTATATACAACTGTACGAAACTATGGGATTATGTCTGGAGAAATTTTCAAAATGATTTTTAATAACAAGAACCACATTGGGTTAAGCATATCCTCTTTTCTCTAAATTAGAATTTTCTGTAATTTTCTGTAAATTAACATAATTGTTTATATTAGTATTAAACAAAATATCAAATAACTTAAATGACATTTTAAAATTATATAATTATAATTTACACATTAAATATGTGTAAATTATAATTATATATATAAAACCCTTGTTATAATTATATATATACTGAACAAAATTATAAACGCAACACTTTTGTTTTTGCCCCCATTTTTCATGAGCTGAACTCAAAGATCTAAGACTTTTTCTATGTACACAAAAGGCCTATTTCTCTCACATATTGTTCACAAATCTGTCTAAATCTGTGTTAGTGAGCACTTCTCCTTTGCCGAGATAATCCATCCACCGCACAGGTGTGGCATATCAAGATGCTGATTAGACAGCATGATTATTGCACACGTGTGCCTTAGGCTGGCCACAATAAAAGGCCACTCTAAAATGTGCAGTTTTACTGTATTGGGGGGTCCGGGGGGGTCCGAAAACTAGTCAGTATCTGGTGTGACCACCATTTGCCTCACGCAGTGCAACACATCTCCTTCGCATAGAGTTGATCAGGTTGTTGATTGTGGCCTGTGGAATGTTGGCCCACTCCTCTTCAATGGCTGTGCGAAGTTGCTGGATATTGGCAGGAACTGGAACACGCTGTCGTATACGCCGATCCAGAGCATCCCAAACATGCTCAATGGGTGACATGTCCGGTGAGTATGCTGGCCATGCAAGCAAAGGAGAAGTGCTCACTAACACAGATTTAGACAGATTTGTGAACAATATTTGAGAGAAATAGGCCTTTTGTGTACATATATATATATAACCCTTTTTCACTGGGAAATTATTAAATTAAAATATTATAATTGTTATTATAAGCATAAAAGCTTATGATTAAATAATCAAAAGCCTATATTAACTGCAAAGCAATGAAATATGTGTTGATAAAATCAGTTTTAATTTCAGCATATTTTGGAATAAATAGTGCATTACTTAACTGCATGACCTATGGGTATGTAACAATAGAATTGTTTCAAGATCACTGTGGTAACAAAAACCACACATCTTTAACAGGGTGGCACATCCTCTTTTCCAGATTTTCTTGCTTTCTGTGACATGAAGAAGACACTAAAGCCTATAAATAAAACGTATTATTAATTATTAAATGCAAGATAATTTAGACCGACTGGTCAAGTCAACGTAATACTGCCTGTCACTCTGTGTCCAATTTTCCACTAAAATAAATTATTCACGGTGTATAACGGAGCTTTCCGGCTGGCTTCCTACTAATTATTTTACCTTTATGACGCGCGCTGTTGTGTGACAGATGCCACTTGATGCTTGCTAGTGAAACGCGTTGAATTTGCCGTGAATCCTTTAGGATAATTCATGACTCTGTCCTACACATCGATCGATTTATGAATTCGGATCCGCGGTAAACGTGGCATCTTCAAGAACCGCTGGTTTGTTTGTGTTTCGCAGGCATTGTATGCATCGAGCGAGACCCGTAACATTCAAATGTAGACTAGGTTCTTATCTAACTACATGATGCTGGTATCAAGCCATCCAATACGGTTCCATTTAAATGATTAAAATGAGATTCGGTTCACCTTATGAGACGCTCTCCCCGTCCTCCGCTAATTTCTCCGGTTTCTTCCGTCTACAAAGAAAACGTAACCGTGACGTATCCTGACGTAGGCTTTCGGTTTAACCCATTCAATGCTGGTCCCAAAAACATCCATGATTAGCAAAGTGCTTGTTGCCTATAATGAGTCTTAAGAAGAATTTGTGGCCTATAGCTAAATTAATTATAATTAAATAGATAAAAGATTGCGTGATTTACAGTTAAAAGTTAAATACCCCATTAAAATTCGGGTTATTAAATGCATTACATTTTTTTTGTTAATATTTGCATCAATTTGTTAAATAATTAAAATGTGATTTTTTAATATTATATAATTATTTATAATGTACACATTATATATGTAAGGTCTATAAAATGATTAATTTATTTTGATTGTTTCTCACTTTTATTTATTTTAGCCTATAGCTAAATTAATTTTAATTAATGTTGGTCATATTAATGCTCTAATAGATTTGTTTTCGCATGATTTACAGTTCAGTATATATTTCCCTTTTAATTAGATAATTATTAATTTATAAAAACAATAATTGTAAATAATTGCATAAAAGCAAATCATTTTTATACAACATAATTATGAATGTAGCATGATTAATTGTAATAATATTCTAAAATGTATTAAATGCATCAAAATAATAGATATCACATTAGATAAAAGTAATAAATATAAAAATAATATGGTATATAAATTAATTATTAAACATTATAGAAGATGATAATAATAATGTTTTTATGTGATTTGTTATCAAGAAAATATTTTAAAATATTTTCAGTATTGGGGAGAGTAAAAACAATGAATTGCATACACTTGACAATGTCACCAAATTATTAAAAGAACCACAACAACAACATAAAAGCTATATTTTATTTGGCTTTTACTTGGTAGGAAAAAAAATAAAATAAAACACTTTTCCCTTTTAGTACTCTTCCCCCTCCTCATCTTCCTCGAATGAATCGATGCCCACTTCTTCGTAATCCTTCTCCAGAGCTGCCATGTCTTCTCTGGCCTCAGAGAACTCTCCCTCTTCCATGCCTTCACCCACATACCAGTGCACAAAGGCTCTCTTGGCATACATCAGGTCAAATTTGTGGTCCAGACGGGCCCAGGCCTCAGCAATGGCTGTGGTGTTGCTTAGCATGCACACGGCTCTTTGCACCTTGGCCAGGTCTCCTCCAGGAACCACAGTTGGGGGCTGATAGTTGATGCCCACCTTGAAGCCAGTGGGACACCAGTCCACAAACTGGATGCTTCTTTTGGTCTTGATGGCTGCGATGGCGACGTTGACGTCTTTTGGAACCACGTCTCCTCTGTACAGCAAACAGCAGGCCATGTATTTTCCATGCCGTGGATCGCACTTCACCATCTGGTTGTTGGGCTCAAAACACGAGTTGGTGATCTCAGCCACAGAGAGTTGCTCATGGTAGGCCTTCTCAGTGGAGATGACTGGAGCGTATGTGGCCAGGGGGAAGTGGATACGAGGGTAGGGCACCAAGTTGGTCTGGAACTCTGTTAGGTCAACGTTCAAGGCGCCGTCAAAGCGCAGAGAGGCTGTGATGGAGGAAACGATCTGGCTGATGAGCCGGTTGAGGTTGGTGTATGATGGGCGCTCAATATCTAGGTTTCTCCTGCAGATATCGTAGATGGCCTCATTGTCCACCATGAAGGCACAGTCGGAGTGCTCCAGGGTGGTGTGGGTGGTCAGGATGGAGTTGTACGGCTCCACCACAGCTGTAGACACCTGGGGAGCTGGATAAATGGCAAACTCCAGCTTGGACTTCTTTCCGAAGTCAACAGAGAGACGCTCCATCAGAAGGGAGGTGAAACCTGAGCCTGTACCGCCACCGAAACTGTGGAAGACCAGGAAACCTTGCAGCCCTGTGCATTGGTCAGCCTGTGTGGAAGAAGGGACAAAATTTACATTTTAGTTTCTGTTATTTGAATCTATTTTTGCAAGTAAATTTAATACTAATTATTGACATTACCAGTTTACGTATGCGGTCCAGCACGGAGTCAATGATCTCTTTGCCAATGGTATAATGTCCACGGGCATAGTTATTCGCAGCATCCTCTTTGCCTGAGATGAGCTGCTCAGGATGAAACAGCTGACGATAAGTGCCAGTGCGGACTTCATCTGAAAGAATAACACAGCAGTGCCACATAAAACCAAATCCTGACCAGTGCTGTTACTGTTGACTTCAGCTTTATTTAAATTAGTGAAAAAAAATATTAA